AAATGCATCATATGGATAGCTTGCAGCCAGATGAACTTCCAGCAGATGTTAGAAAATTAAGGATGCTATTGCACTGTGACTTGCCTCTTTGTCAGTGTTTTAAAACTTTCAAATAATAATAATGAGCCTGATGTTGAGGATGAAAGCAGTTCTACCCAGAAGCAAAAATGTTTGCCAAAGACCTAGGTAAATTATTTAGGGACATAAAGACTGTGTTTCTGTGTAATTATTTGGCAGCAGGAAAACAGCAAATGAACACCAGTATGCCAGGCACCTTCAGGCACTGGATATAAAAAACCAAACAAAACACAGCTCTGCCCTCAAGGAGCTTCCAATACATAATGGCACTAAAATTAACTCAGTTTCATTGTTTCAAATTTAAATTATAGTACTGTTTCTCACATACAACGAGCCTTATAGGCAAAACTTGAAGAAAGAGTTTCTTAAGTCCTAAAGCATGAAGGTCAGTCACATTCATCTACCAGCTGCTCACGAGGTCACCAACTTGCAATAGTAACTCCAGAGCATCCCTTTTCCCTCCACAGAGAAAGCTTGGTGAAGGGTGAATTCGTTAAAATAATAAATTTATATGAAATTCAGAATAAGGGTAATGTGGACAGAAATAATGCCTGGTGGGGAAGGAACTGAACTCTAAAAGATGCTCTCTCCCATAAAACAGAAGAGGAAAGAGGAAGAGAATGTTAAATTTGGGTAAGTTTCACTTCATTCAAGGAGAACAAAAGATGGTAACAAAAGTAATCATATTAAATGTCTGCACTGGTTTTTAATAAAAGGAATGAATTTTAAATTATCTGCCTGATGGCTTGATTATTTAAACCTGGTTTTCCTTTAGATTAAAACAATAATTTCATTTCTCTGAATATGCAAAACAGATTCATTTAGGTGACCACGATGAGCAAAATGAGTCCCATCTATTGGCCCCTGTAGATGTGGAGCATAAGTGAGAATCATTTGTTGTTTCAAACCACTGAGAATTGGGGGTTGTTTGTGATCGACACACTACTTTGGGGGAAAAAAATTGTCCTGTATCTTAGCAACATCCACTCAACTATACATATTACAAATTTTTAATATTTTTCTCCACTGTTGCAAGTTCAGTAAGACTTCTATTTGATATAAACACTGAAGAGTAATTTGGAATACTATATACACACGATGGTTATAAAACTATTTCTCTAAAATTATTTTATGTAAGCTTCTCACCAACTGGCCTCTCCTTTATTCCAAATTATTGGTATAATATTTTGCCAAATCCACCAGCATCCACTCCATTATTAAAAACTTAGGATAAATGGAGTCCATTGGATTTGAACATTTTTGTAAACTAGGCCTTGAAAACTAGCCTATCACAACTCTTCTGGTATTTTATGATTTTTATGAAATTCTTAGATGTCCATCTTTCTATCTGCTATAACTCCAAAATTAGTACTAAGAAAAGCAAATCCTTCAGTCTTGCAGCTAATCAAACTTGGTCTTCAAATAAATACCCAATATGCTTGCTCAGTTAAACGATAGAAAAAGCTGGCTTTTGCTAGGTGGGGGAAAAAAAAAAAAAGAGTATAAAGATGGAAGGTTGAACCACATGGGCCTGCAGGGAAATAGGGAATAAACAGATGGAGATCATTAGATTTCAAAATTATCCTGTCTTGAGTTTATCTGGAATTTCAAGACATGAACATACAGTTGAGATTATCACATCCATTCAAAGTGTTCAGATTTTCGAAGAATTATTACAATTTTGGCCCAATTAAAAAAAAAAGATTATAGATAGCACCATCTTTCCCCTACAACTACCCCAAACCTACAAACTCAGTATGGAGGGCACAAATGATGTCATTTCCTTTTTTATCCCACACATAAGGCATAGCACAGTACCTACAAATAGCTGTTATTCAATAAATGCTAAACTGATTTCCGCCACTACTTTCTCAAATCCCCACTCCCTGGCCACCTCCCCCATCTTTTAAAGGAGTGACGCAGGCAGAGAGGAACAGAGCAGGTATTAGTTAGAGCTATCTCCACTGTCTTGCCTGTCCACTCCTGCAATCTCCCCCCAACCCCCTTCAGCTAACTGGACTCTAGTAGTGAGTCGAAGCCTGTCAGTCAACAGAGAAGATACTCACGGTTGCATTGCTGTGTACTGGTACAAACAGGCAGCAGCTATTGGAATTAGAGGATTTGCTGAATATTCACCCCCAGAGAGGTCAGGACTAACCGTACAACTTTTAGGTGAAGTCTAGCTCAACAATGATCAGGGGCAACCTTAGCAGACACAGTCAGGAACGTGGTGCTGAGCATAGGGCCTCCTGAAACAAGGTCAGGAGACAGAAAAACTGCAGTTCGTCTTTCACCAACTTCTTTTCATGCAGGAAAAAAAAATGGTTAGTGCAGTGTGGCTAAAAATAGCAAGGCCAAGAGCCAGCCAATACTCTGGGGGATCATTTGCTCTGAGGACAAAGGTCAGTGCAAGGATGGGCATGTCCGACCACCGTAAGGAAACAGACTGGATCCTATTCCTGGAATGCTGTACTGAGCTCACCTGTGAGTCAGTGTGACAATCTTCCCCCTAGAGGCTGCTTCTATTCTTATAGATTGTAGCCTCCAGAGTAATAAGCGTAAGGAAACAGACTGGATCCTATTCCTGGAATGCTGTACTGAGCTCACCTGTGAGTCAGTCTGACAATCTTCCCCCTAGAGGCTGCTTCTATTCTTATAGATTGTAGCCTCCAGAGTAATAAGCCTTACACACCAAGTTGAGACTGCCCTGTTTTTAGAACTTAAGGAAATCCCTTAAGCATTTGTTACTATTTATCACATAATTAAGCACTCCTAGCATGCATTTCATATTGCCTTGAGCAAAAAGCTTAAGATGTAAACCATCTCTAAATAACATTCCCTTCCTGAATGCTGAGATGAGAACATGAAAATCATACCACATGTCTGCCATCTGTATTTGTACTTGTCAACAGCTCTGTTTTGGGATAAACAATTTTGAAATAAGAATCAATTCAACTTGTTGGAAGATTAGCCAAGGAATAGCTCAAAGTCCAAAACAGAACGTGAAGTCAGATAGTATAAAAAATAAAGCACAATTTTGTTTCTCACTAAACATTCTGTTTTGTCACAGCCCAAGAGAAAGAGCGTGGCAGCTGAGGTTTGGAGGCACAGAGACATGGAAAACGTATTTGCTCAAGTGAAAAATCTTCAACCTAGAACAAATGTCTTTGCTACAATACAACTGGAAATCATTCACTGACCTCTAGGAGACCACAGTTAAGAAAAAAGTAATTTTAGCATTTACACTTTGTCTCACAGTTCTACTATGTAAAGGCATACACAGGAGACAACTTGCACTGGTCCAAGTGCATAATACAGTTCTTTATTACCATAAAAACGGTGGCATTTCCCAAAGTCGATCTTGATTAAAAGTAGCTGCATGGTTGAAAACACTACTCTACTGTAAAGCTATTAACACTAGAGAGATGGCAAGGGGAAAATAAAGACATATATCAATGGGGAGGTCAGGGAAGAAGTTAGCAAAAAACAGGATGCTACAGATTGGTGGGAGTTAACAATGGAATTGCTTTTACAGGCGGCTGATGTAAGTGAATGAAGGGACACGATAACCTAGCAGCCCCACATATTCTACAAAACAAATGAGAACATGTATGCTCCACTTAGAGGGACATCCATTTTCTCCTTAAAATAAGTCATTTATAAAAGAACAAATTGGTGACTTGTACTTACAGACTGGACCTTTTTCAAGCCCCTGTCAAGAAGTGATAAATTATTGAAGCATAGCATAAAATATTTTATTTTCGGTGTGCACACAGTAAAACCTTGTGAAATGTTTCTATTCACCTTTCCCGAATTATTAATTAAAAAATAATTGTTTCCAATTACTCTCTGATCTCTAAAATAAAACAAGACAAACACCACAAACACCTCTCCAGAACCAGCACTACCCCTCCCCTCCCTCCTTTCTGATCCTGCCCCCATATCCTTCAACCAGACAATTGTTTCAAATCACACCACCAGATCCCGAATCAAGGATTCTGTTTAGATTGTGGAGAGAGGTAAGAGGAAGGCCAATACAATGTTCAAGCAATTGTCAGCTGTTCATTCAACCACAGGGCCTAGATATATTTGTTGTTCCTGGAGACAGTGTAAACTGTTCAGAGAATAAAGCAGGGTTGAGGAAAATTCATTAATAAATTGTGAAAGTCTTCTCAGCAGGAGTCACATAACCTGGAGGAGCTGCCCTGTGCCAGATAACATGAAAGCCTGGTACTCTGCTCCAGGACGTCACAAACACAGCTCTGATTTAAAAGAAAGGCTTCCCCACAGCCACTTGTTACACATGAGTAAGAAGAAATTCTTCCCCAAACACAGCTTAGCAAATGGAACCTGAATGAGTTTATAAAATCTAGGATTTGTTTTAATCTAAATGCCAGAGATGTACAGGAATGGCTCCTCCCCTGCTGTGTTCATAATCCGAGAGGAGAATATTGATGCCAACGCTTCTCAAAGGGGACAAGAAAACCAAAAACATCTACCTGCACAGGGCAAGTTGTAGGATGACTGCTGACAGGAAGGTTTTCACCAAATGGGCATATTTTTAATATTTAGAATCTCTCCCCCACTTAAATTCAAATTCCCACTCTTTTTGTGGAAATGCCCCATTCTATTTTCTATTAAGATGACTGAATCAGTGGCTGAACTTCTGCCCTCCTGGCCCCTTTTTATAGTCTCAGAATGAAACTGAATGCCTTTGTAGAACATATTCACCCAAGTATTTTTGGATGGCAAATAGAAGAGAATAGGATAAAGAAGGAAACGTCTAAAATGTTTTAATTATATGTCCATCATATGCTTCATTTTAGTCAGCCAAATAAGTAAGGCAAATCAAATGAAATGATATTGCTTCAAACTTACGTTAAATAATCTTACAGGAAGACACAGATTTCATCTTTTTTTTATTTTTGGTGGCTGAGCATTACAGGAATCGAACTACTTTGTCTTTTTTAAAAAAATTCCTTTAGCACTGTGTACACTGACACAGAGGCAAAAGAAAATGACTGAGACTTAAGTGTGAAAGAACTCGTACAATTAAATCCACAATTTTATACACTTATCTTACATGTAGGTGAAAAATCACCAACTATTATGAAAATAGGACAAATTATATCATAAAAGAACCAAATAATAGAAAAAAAATTTATAAAAAATATATCCAGCTATGAAAAGTAACAGTTCTCTTGGTGTCTTCACATCCTTCTCTTCTGTGTACTTATGTACAACACTGAAAAGAAAAAAATAAATAAACTGAAAAAAACCCTGTTGTTAAGTTTCATAGTAGCAAGTTTTAAAGACAGATAGATTTTGGCATGACAACTGCAAATTTAAAAGGACTTCTCATACCATACAATTAAATCTAGAAGACTAGTTTTATGAATCTAGAACTGGGTTTGGTGTTGTACAGATCTGTGTCCTAATCTAATCTATGTACCAGACTGACTGCAAATTGTGACCAGGAAAAAAAAATACTATATATATGAAAGTCCCAGAGTCTAAGAATGCTTTATAATTGGAAGTATAATAGTTACGTACAGATCTGTGTCCTAATCTAATCTATGTACCAGACTGACTGCAAATTGTGACCAGGAAAAAAACATACTATATATATGAAAGTCCCAGAGTCTAAGAATGCTTTATAATTGGAAGTATAATAGTTATGTTTTTAGGAAAGTAAATTAGTAAAGCTGGCAGGCTAGACTTCAGGTTAAGTATAAATAGCATATTTCATCCATCTCCCCAATATAAACTCTAAACTTGCTGTTTACCTTCTTAATTGCAATAAGATAAACAAGAGCTTATGAGTTTATTTTTTTTAAAGATACCAAAGTTCTTATTCTGAATTCCCTGTTAGAGTTTCAACCTTTTGGGTTATCCAAATTGCTTAACTAGTCCTGTTATGACCACCAAACTGAACTCTGTAGAATAAATGGTACTTAAGAATAAGATGAAATTAGATAACTGGGTCACTCTGGTCAAGCTTTTACAAGAGGGGTATCTCCCCTCCCATCCCCCATGACCACTCAGATTCTGACAGGTTTGTTCAAAGTGAACATTAAGAGATGTCTTGGTCAAAGAACCCAGCACAGCTTAATCCTTTTTAAGAGCCAAAGGAGTGAATTTGGGACTCTAAAGGTAACTGTCACTGATTACATCATGGAAAAGGTTATATAAAGGGAAGCAACAGAATGCCAGTAAAAACAACCCTGGGAAACTAGACAAGTACTAGGGATAACGTGCATGTTAAAGGATCTACCCTCTATCACCACACACAGAACCTGCTATTGACTATTGTTATTAGCTGTCCTGAGATAAAGCAAGATCATAACATTTCTTAGTAAAAGGAGGAAGTCAAATTAGAATGATATGAAAAACAGAAGGTATTGGAAGGACTAAAAAGCAAACGAAAGATGTAAATAAAGATATGATATGAAGAAATATGGTACTCTAAGAACAGAGGATGAAATATTTTATTGTAAAAGCCAGAATTTTTTCTTCAAAGCAAACAGATCCAACTATTAAAGGGTTTAACTGTTACCTAGAAGTAAAAATACCAATTAAAAAATCTGAACTCAAGAATCCCAGATCTCCATTTGGGGGATGGGACCAAAGAGGAGATTGGTCAAGGAGTAATTCTCATAATTTTGATGACTTCCCCTCCCCACCAAAAATTAAAATATGACTTTATTGATAATTTGTGTTTTGAGATGAGGTACTTAAAAATAACCACAATAATCATAGCAATATATTAGCTGTTAAAAAGCTGAGTAACTTGAGAACCATATTTCCTATTTTGCCATTTTTGCCAAACTAAAGGGTACAAATTTCCACAAAAAGCATCTGAATGTTTAACAGAGAAAAGGACAAATAGGACAAGGTAAGTGTCAAATCATAAAAACCAAAGATAGCAGGGAAATGGTGCCCATTCTTACAGCTCCAATTTCCAGGGTGTGAGAGGCAGGAATATGTGTTGCAGGGACGTAATAAACTATATTCAAGAGAACAGGGTTCTGGGAAGGATACCAATGCTCCCAGTTCCCCATCAGTAAAGGAAAGGAAAGAGAGAATTTCTAGTTTCAAAATGTAATAAACTATATTCAAGAGAACAGGGTTCTGGGAAGGGTACCAATGCTCCCAGTTCCCCATCAGTAAAGGAAAGGAAAGAGAGAATTTCTAGTTTCAAAATTCCATGAAGCATCTAAAAAGGAACTGGTCACATCAAAGATCTGAGATATAAGTATTTAAAAATAAACAAAACAAAATTAAAACTGAACTTTTAAATTATCTAGAAAACCCTCTGGTGATCCTGATTACAAACAAAATGGCTTATTCTGGATGCTGTACAACTATAGAGGGAAGAAATATTACCATTGTTTCCTCGGATAAATGCATCCCCATACTTATTCTTCAGTTGTCCATTTACATACTCTTCTGTCTGCTCCAGAGCTATATTCATGTAGCCATCCAGGCAAGCCAGGACCCCTGGAGAGAAGATTTAGTCAAAAAGAAGATACTTGTATACAAAGCAAATAAGAATTGAAAATTACAGGGTATACTAAGTGCTGACAATCTCTTTATTCATTAGCTCTTAAATGCTTAATATAAAAATTCATGCTGTAAATGAAACTCAATAGACTTAAACATAAAACAAGCCTTTACTCTATGCCAATCTGAATGAAGGCAAGGAAGCATATAACGTGAAAGCAGTTATGTACACACTACTACCAAGAAAAACAACAAACTGTCACTTTCTCATGTATGTATAATCACAACAGCAATTTTTATAGCCTTCACAAAAGTCACAGAATAAGAATAGCCCAACTAAAATACCATTCTTTGAAAGCTAAGGACAGGAGTGGACAATTATGCGTGAACAAATGATCCTCAGTTCCAGTGGCATTTCTTACTTTAGCCATTAAGTAAAATATGGATCTAGCATATTTATTTCATTCCTTCACAACATCTACTGCAGCAGATGAATGTATACCGGGGTTAAGAGGAAGTCTCCACAATCTGTTAAAATAATAAAAGAGGAGACAGCAGGTGCTCCTGAAAGAACATCTTAAATCTGTGACTCACAGTGAAGAGCAGCTTGAGAATACAAGGCAACATATTGCATTATAACACATCCCATTCTGTTTTGTTACAGTCATAATATTTTCAAATCAAAAGTAATAGAGAAAAATGCCTAAAAACGTTCTAGGGAGCTTTCAAGGAAACAAACAGTTTGGGTGAATTTTTAATTGTTAAGATGGTATAAATTTTGCAAAATTTGACCTAATGATTTTTCTCAAAAAATAAAAATCTGTAAGCCTCTAAATCTCAGTCTCTAAGTCAATTTAGTATTTTCTAGAAAAAAAACTAAGTAAAACAAATACTAGAGATTTGATACGATTTGCCAAGTCAATAGTTTCATGTAAAGTCTTAACTTCATTAATATGCTCCGCACTCTCTGCCTCTGCCCCCATTATACTCTAAACAAAAAAGTTTCTTTTCAAAATTGCATATGTGTGATGAGAGCACAGACATTAATCTAACAGAATTATGCTAGAAGCTGTAAACTTTCAAAGAATCAGAATGGATTTTAAGCAAACAAAATGTTCACTTCAAATCAAAATATCTATTCTCATAGCAAAAATTTTTTTTAAAAAAAGTGCCCAAGTGGTGAAAATTATAACCCCCTCCCTTCTCCAAAGAATAAACTACTGTAAATAACAGAAAAAAAGAAATTTTCTTCAAACTTCAAGAGAAACTGCTACAGAAAGATGTTAGTTTTTTTTTTTAAATTTAACCACAAAATAAGAGCATTCTTTTAGTAAGATTCTCTAATTGTATAAAACATTTTGCTTTAATAATATAGAGACCATAAGCAGACATTGATAAAAGGAGAAAAATTACGTTACTGCCCATGTAAAAGGCTATTCAAACACATTAGTAAACAAAGAAAATATAAATAAAATGAGATAATATTTGTTGCCAATTAGATTGGAAAAGATGAACAAAAGCTAATACAAAGGTTGGTGAGAACATGGAAAAGGATAAACCCAAAGCCAGGTACCTTGATGGAGGACCATTTGACATAGTCTTTGACTCAGAAATCCTAGCCTAGGGAATTTATTCTAAAGAGATATTTGGACAAGTGCTTAAGATGTATGTCAAAGGAAAAACGTTGTTTATAATAGCAAAAAACTGGTAAATACCAAAATGTCCATTAATAGGAAATTGGTTAAAAACAAAAAAAACCTACGGTACGTACACTCAAAGGACTCCTATGCAGCCATTAAAATCTCTGTATAGTCACAGAACTAAATATATTTTTAGTGTAAAAAAAAAATCAGGTTGATTCCATTCATGTATAATTATGCTTATATATAAAAAGGTTGAAGTTGCTATGGCTGATTATCTCTGGATGGTAGAATTTGGGAAATTTTGCTTTTTTCTATATACTTTTCTTCATTATTTGCTTTTAAATTTCTAAAAATAAAACAAAACTAAAATATGTATTACTTTTATTTTTATCTCTGGATGGTAGAATTTGGGAAATTTTGCTTTTTTCTATATACTTTCCTTCATTATTTGCTTTTAAATTTCTAAAAATAAAACAAAACTAAAATATGTATTACTTTTATAAATAAAAACATTTTCTTTAAAAAATATAAAGAAAAAAAGTTCAAGCTGGTTGATCTCTTCAATAAAGGAGGTACTGAGAAAATACTGAAAACACAATGTTCCCACTCTAATCAATTGTCAAATGTACTCGAACCCTACAAGTCTATTATCACCTTTGGGCTCATCAAAAGTTCATGGGTAAGAAGCAGTACACAGAGACTTCACAATATCTCAGCAGTCAGTATAAACCCATTAGTTCCACTATAAAAATCAAATAAAACTGGAGATATGTTATTAATTTCAAAGAAACTAAAGCAGTACATAGAGAGCAGAGTGGTTTCTTAACAAGGCTTCTGAGTCAAGCTTGAGTTTAAATCCAAGCTCCTCCCTTAATAGGTGGAAATAATCAACAGAGATCTCAAAGGATTTATGTGAAGATAAAATAAAAATGTGTTAAAGTGATTAGCACACTCTGAGCACATATTAAGCCCTCAATAAAATTATGTTTGCATGTGTGGAAAAAGGAAAAAGCTCAAGAGATTACTATCATTAATTATTCAGAAAAGAGACCAAGAAAGGCCCACAAAACTCTGCTAATGAGTTATATATACCTGTGAAATATTCCAGGTAACATATCTTAATTTTGGAAGACTAGGAATTTTATAACTTTAAAAAATGGAACTGGATATTATTCCTGTCACAAAGTTAATTTCAGAAATATGACAGCTTCTTTTAAAGAGTATTCTCTACATGAACAGAAAGGCATTTTTGGATACCCCACATGTTATATGAGTGTGAAGTTCATGTTGTAAAATGATATTGTCTAATAGTCACTTACTTCTGCAAAAACAAATGCTGCTGTACCAAAGTGTTCATCAGTATCCAGTTATTCATACCTGACGTGACTGGGAATCACTTAAGCACACATGATCTTAAAGCAGAGACAAGAGACTGAAGTCACACAAATCACACTGGAAGTCAGAAGCACACACTCTGTCAGAGTTTTCTCTCTAAAAAGAACAATCTCGAAGGCAAAAAAGAGATGGGCATAGAACAGTTGACAGCCAATGCTTTTTTGGTCTACTAGGTACATTTAAGAGGTTAATAAGAATTGGTAAGTCACATTCATTTATTTAGTTACACCAGTGAGGATTAAACGTGAAAATATTACCTCGATAATCCACTCCAGAATTTAATTTTACCACAACTGGACGTCCAATGATTTGCTTTAAGAAGTCACTAGGGGTTTGCTTCCGCAGACTCATTTTAACAATCCTGATAGGAAATATGAAAGAGAGCAACAAAAGTGAAGACAAAAGTTAATTATTCAACAACAACAACAAAAAACCCTGAAGCTCTTATATAGGAAATCAAATATCAAAGCCCTTTATAGGAAATCAAATATCAAAGGACCACGTATAAAGACTCAATAGTATTACTTCACTACTGTTACATGACAGCTAACATGTTTTCAGTATTTACTATGAGCCAGATACTAAGCTAAGCATTTTACATGCATTATTTTATTCAGTCCTCGCAACAACCCCATTAGAGAGCTCTGTGTTTACAGAGTACCTGCTCTCAATCAGTTGTCACTCCCACCTCATACATAGTATACCATCACAACCACTACTACCTCCACCATTTACTACATGCTCATTTTATGCTAAGCACTCTGATAAGATCTTTATAAACATTATCAAATTTAATCTTTACAAGAACCCTGAGAAGGACTTAATATCCATTTTGCTGATAAAAAATAAAGGCATAGAAAGATTAAATAATTTGTCCCAAAATGTGATGAAACCAAAATGAGACGGAACATTCAAGCTCAAATCAATAATATTTTAAAGTCCATATCACATACAGTAGGCACCTTTATGAACAACTGATGCCTAAATGGTATCTCTGAAAACAGTAACTATAATCATAATTGAAAGCTAATACTTGAATGTACTACATGCCAGCACTTTTCCAAGCACTTTGCACATGTTAATCCACTTAAACTCACTACCTTATGAGGTAGGTATTGTTTTCATCTTCATTTTACAGATGAAGAACTAGAAGGAAAGTTAAACACCCTGCTCAAGGTCATGTAGCTCGTAAGTAGATAGCCAGGCCATGTTCTTAATCACAACTTACACAGCCTTCCGAAAGTTGCTAATCCAGCCAATGATTTTGAACTACTTGATTATGTCTATAGCAGATATGCACACTAAATAATAAAGAAAAAAGTCTTAAAATTCAGGTATAATAGGAGTCAGATATAGAGAAATAGCATTACACACCCAAATCAATCATATCAGACATATAAAGTTGCCCATCGCTTCTTTCAAAACTCACCTTGTTACATAACAGTTATCTGTCTAAAATATTTTGGTAAACAAATTAAGAAAACTACAGTTACTTAAGCAAAAACTGAGAGTAAAAAGACTTTGGAAATTAATTTTTCTCTTTCAGTCAAATTCAGCATCACTATTATTTAGAAGCAATACAGCATTGAGACTTAAAAATTAGTATGGATACAGTATTTTGAGAACTCTCCTCAAGAACTCGAGTTGTTTTTTTGTTTGTTTTCAATTAAAATATTCATTAAACATTGTTCCATAAATAGCACTGCTTGTTTCATTACAAGTATATCCACTCAGTGATCTGAATTTGGGTTTGGGATTGTTGTTTGGAGATGTTTTCAAAGTGAATCCATGACAGTTCAGCAGTTTGGGTAAGCTGAAATGCTAGGTGTTGATTTTTCATTTGTTTGACAAATTTGTGCATGTACACACTATACAAGGAAATTCAAAAACATGTCATACACAGAAGCTCTGACCTTAAAAAACTTAGAATCTATGCTAGGTGTTGATTTTTCATTTGTTTGACAAATTTGTGCATGTACACACCATACAAGGAAATTCAAAAACATGTCATACACAGAAGCTCTGACCTTAAAAAACTTAGAATCTAGAAGATTTTAAGCTCTTATTTAAAGAATGTAAGTAAATAAAAGTGATCACAATTTAAGTAAAATAATTTTCTTCAGCCAAGAAAAGTCAACATTCTAAAATTTAAAAAAAATACAAATTTCACAGACTATCATTTGGACCATCCACACCCCACGCTCTCAAGTCTTGAAAGACTTTTTTAAATGTGATCAACTGATTATTTTGCTCAGCAATTTTTAATATAACTTTTCCACTGAATTGCTGGCTTATTTTTTTTTTTTAGTTTTGCAATCTCAACAGATAACTAAAACTACAACTACTATTTAGGACAACCACTATTTATTTAGGACTCAGACCACCAAACAATTCTATTCATGTTGTTTTGAGTACAAAGAGAAAAGTTACAAAGTAAATGCAGTAACAGATTCAGTACCTTTAATGAGTTCAGCAAAAACAAACAAATTTTCCCATTCATCTATAAACTACCTTATTTATGTCTTGAACATGTTGCTGTTTTGTGGCTAAACACTTCTAGAGACACTATCAACTCTGAAGGACTGACTGAGATTCAACTCATGAGTCTTTGGTTCATTTCCTATCACAGATGCCAAATGCCATCACACCATAGTTTCTTCATGTACAAAACTAAGATAAGACTAGCTGTTTAGGAGAACAGATAAAGAAAATGTGGTATATATACACAATGGAATACTATTCAGCCATAAAAAAGAATGAAATCCTGTCATTTGCAGCAACATGGATGAGCCTGGAAGAAATTGTTAAGTGAGATAAGTCAGGCACAGAAAGAGAAATACTACATGTTCTCACTCATATATGGGAGCTTAAAAAAAAAAAAGTTGAGTTTATAGCAGTAGAGAATAAAACTCTGGTTACCAGAGGCTGGTAGATGAAGAGGGGAGTGGGGGGAATAACGAAACACTGGTTAACAGATACAAAATAAAAGATAGGAAAAATAAGTTCTAGTGTTGACAGTAGTGCTAAGCATCTATAATTAACAATAATTTATTATATGTTCTCACATGGCTAGAAGAGAATTCAAATGTTCTCCTCACAAAGAAATGATAAATTTTTACAATAGCAAGTATGCTAATTACCCAGATTTGATACATCACACACTAGTATACATGTATTGAAATATAACTCTGTCCTCCATAAATATGTACAATCAACATGTGTCAATAAAAAAAAAAGACTAGCTATTTATTCTGTTTTAAAAAACCCACTAAAGTGCATTGCGATGTGAAAATTTAGTTCACAGGGATATTAACTACTTCAATTATTAATAATTTCACCTACTCCCGGAGTATTTACAGTTCAGGATAAAAAAAATGGAAGGAAAATTAAAAGTTAATAAAAGGAAAAAGAATACAAACCTCGACTATCAGTTGTTTGACAGTATTGGTTATTTTAAAGATATTAATATTAACTTTCTGTGCCTTCATAAAAATCACAGATGTTTTTCTAAGCTCACCAAAGACAACACCACTATTAAGTCTCATTTTTATCCCAACTAATATTAATCTCTTCCTGAAGGCAATCAACACTTGAAACTTTCATGGAGCACCTAAGTGTCAGGCACACAGGACTTGGGATATAACACAAATAAGACATGGCCCTGGGCCCTCAAGTTTACACTCCTGAGGGGGTTAAAAAACATGGAAATGGAGAATTTTACAAAAGCTATATGTATTCAGATAGAATTATGTATAGAGAACACAGCAGAGAAGACTCTTAGACCAGGCTTGGTAGATCAAAGACAGATTTCTGGAAAAGGTGGTATCTGAGTTGAGTTTCAAGGCAAAGGAGTTCATCAGCTGAAAGGAAAGAAGTCTTAGCAAAGGCACTAGACGATGTGTTTGGGTCTGAAGGCAAAATCGACACAGGCAAGGAGGTAATACAGCTACAGAAGGGAGCAGCACGACATTCATGGGGAGCACTGGCTTGAGCGTCCAGGTCAGTTTCCCAAATTTGAATTATTTGGGTCACGTTGAGATCCTACTTGGTAGTTCTGGAGTAGGACCCAGGAATCTATTCACACAAGCCTATGAGATTCTTATAAACTGGCAAGTTTGGGAAATATTGCTGTCAGTGATAGAACACAGGAGAGGATTTTAAGTAGGCATTTGCATGGGTTCCATTTTCTGCTTTGTGTAGCAGAATGGAGATCAGGCCACCTTACTTAGTTCTGGTATCATGCAGTTGGCCTTTAGTTGTATTTGATATAACTGGTCACTATTTATTCTCTTTTATATTCTTTACTTTTTTTTAGAAGGGGCTTTTCTCCCTCAAAAGACTGTTAAGTCACCTGAAAAGACGGGCTAATAACAAGCATCTCATTTGTTCTGCAGAATATCTATATTCTGCTAAATCTCTTGAAAAAAATATTTTTAGAGTTATTTAGAATGAGTATGGTCGTCTCAAACACATTTTATCCATCACTTTAGAAGAGCCATATCTTTTACATTAGTCTTCATTAGGCTTCCTTGGTACTCTCTGTTACTTAATGACTTGCCCATAAATCCATTTTGTATGAGTAAATTGGTCTTGACACCACAATTTTTCCCATCACTTGGCTCAAGTAATTTTAAGTTTTCATCTTTTAAATTGGATAAGGCAGAAGGAACAGTTCTGACAATTTCTGAAAAGATAAGATTCTTGAACCATAAACACATAAGAGAAAAAAGATCTCCTTTCTGCAGGGTCACCTTGGTAAAACTTCTCCCTTAAAAATTAAAGCCATAATCATCCTCTATGCCTCCTCTCCCTCCCCTGACTCCTACTCAGGTTTGTTTCAAATGACCTATTTTCATAAATGGCTATTAAGTCAAAGGCAGTATATTTTCTGCCAGAAGCTACTGAGAGCTATAGTTCAAGAACATCTGCAAACTGCCCTGTAGCGATTTTTAGTAAAAGAATGGGGGAAAACGAATCAAATTTTAGTTATCCAACTATTTTTCAGGCCATGTTAGATGCATAAGCAATTCACATAGAAACTCTATAAAGTGGAAACCAGAACTAAGGCTTGACTCCAAAGCCTTAACTCTTTAAAAGGTACAACCGTCCTTTTGAACATGTCAACATTCTCCTATTAAACCTGGAGAATAACCATACAGACAGTAAGAGAACTAGATGGAGAGTAGAACTGAAGAAAGAAATATCTAAAGTGTTGTAGTACTGTAAATCAGCCTGCAAAGAAAGATAATGGTCAAGCGAAAATAAATGAATCTAATGTGATTTTGAGTTATGCCATTGAGCAGAAGACATGAAAATACTTATTTCTTAGCAATGTTTACCTGTAAACTTTCACCTATTCCTGGAGTGTTTACAGTTCAGGGTGAAAAAATTTGAAAAGCAAAAAACTACAAGGAAACATAACATTAGAACCCAAGTAAATGCAGCACTGAATAGTAAAGGGCATCAGACACTGAGAAGAACAGCTCTCTAAACAGCTCCCTCTGAGAAGGTGGAGTGACCAGCTGTCTTTTGAAGGCTTAATATTAGTCCCTCCTCCCCAAGCAGTAGGGGCTATTTCCCTCCCTCTCTCCCAAGCACCAAATGAATCCACTCAGAGCACCTCTTTCCACTCTGAGTCATGGCCCTTACCAGGCTGTTTTGTAATTTTCCTGTTTGCTAACTAATCTCCCACAGTGTTCGAAGCTTCTCAGAGACAAGGAAAATATCTTCCTCTTATCATATCCCTAAGCACATTGCCCAAGTTTGTGGAAGAGATACTCAAGGCCATTGCCAAGCAAAACCCCTGTCCCATCCTCTCCCCCTTGCCTGCCCAGCTACAATGGCTAGTACAGTAGCATGCATGTACTTCAACAGTACTAACTTAGTAATAACTCTATTACTGACCAAATAAGACAAAGACAAAAAAGAGAAAATAGAAACATTTTGTGTTCATTCAAAACTAAGCCGCATCCAAATTCACAAAAATGCTTCCTAAAATGCAGATTCCAGAAGCCTACTCAGCCAAGAGACTCTGTAAATTACATTTTATAAAGTTCCCCAGGTAATTCCCATAAGCTAGTAGCTCCCAACCAGGGGCGATTTTGCCCCCACCCTTGGAGATATTTGGAAATGTCTGGAGACATTTTGGATTGTCATGACTGAGGAAGGTGGTGCTACTGGTATCTCTTGGGTAGAGACCAGGGATGCTGCTAAACATCCTACAATGCACAGGACAGCCCTCCACAGCAAAGAATTATCTGGCCCAAAATGTCAATTGAGGTTGTGAAACCTTGCTATAAGCCCTAAAATCAAAAAACCATTGTTCTCTGGTTTTAAAGCAACAAGAAGTTTTAAAGAAATCTTCAAAGTACAACAAATGAGAACTAACAGCTACATTCTAACCAGATGATGGAGTTTAAATTATAACTTATTACGGATATTTTATTCCCTTACGTAGAGAATCTGAAAACAACCATCAAAATCTGAAAGAGGTTGTCATTCTAAATAATGGATTTCTAGTCCTGGCCATGAAAATGGTCACTTTCCCATATTTCAGTCTTACAGGTCTCTCAGATGATTAAAACCTGTTACTCAGTACAATTTTAAAGGGAAAGAATAATCCAGATGATGTAAACATCTTTTTAAGTTCTATATTTGGTATGCCACAGTTCAGTGAGAGACCATCTGATGCAGCATAAAAAGTACTCACTTGGGAGGCTGGAAACCTGAGTTCTAGTCCCAGCTCTGAAACTTAATTAGCTGTGTGACTTGGACAACTCATCACTTCACCTCTCATGGCCCCAGGTTCCTGATCTGAAAAATAAAGGAATTGTGCTAGAGGACCACTGACATCTCTTCCTTTTCTAACATTCCATTAGACTATGCAGTAACTCCAGTAATACACAATACACACAGACACACACACACCCGAAGATTCACACACACACACACACAAACCCTCTTAAGATTCCTGCACAAAACCTAAGCAAGCAGAATTGCCAGACACCACGAGACTCCATCTTGCTGGCTGATATGATAGAAATGTATTACGAGCTACCAAACTTTTGGTGAAACAGGCAGTAATATATGGATGATGTAAACTACGAAAATAATCTGAAATACAATTAGAGAGAAAAAGTTTATCAAAATATTACCTGGATGCTAAAATGAAGCAAAAACTCAAACACTACCTAAATGCCTCACAGTCGGTACCTGGCCTACACAGTGATGAAATAGGCAGCCAATCAAAAGAAGATACAAAACTAGAAATGATACTTAGGAAAAGTTTTTAAATGGAAGTGGAAAGTTATATTGCTAGATGATAAAATAGAAACAGTCTTAACTAGAACTAGAACATACAAGAGAAAAAGACTATGGGTGGAACAGTTCCGTGAGTGTTCTTCAGTAAAGCCTTCTGTATTTTCAATTTTTCTACAACAGTCATGTATTGCTAAGGGGTGGGGTGGGGAGGAGGTCACCAGTCACTACCAACATTATCTGCACATCATCCTAATCCCAGAAACCTTAAACAAAAATACCTCCTAGGCACGTAGTCATGTATTACTAAGGGGTGGGGTGGGGAGGAGGTCACCAGTCACTATCAACATTATCTGCACATCATCCTAATCCCAGAAACCTTAAACAAAAATACCTCCTAGGCACGCGCGCGCACACACGGACACACGGAAAACCTCTGGTGGGAGAACTTCACGCCATGCAATTGCGGGGATTCCCAACCTGACAATTCGGTAAGATGGGCTAGTCCAGCTCTTAGCTCCTGGGGTCAAGTGCAGCCACCCCGAAGTAGTAGTGGAGGTCCCACAACCGCCTGCGGTACTGGCAGCCCTGTGAGGCCTGGGCTGGGGAGCTGCTTTACCGCCCATCCCCACGTTAGCGGCAGGGTTCCAAGGGAACTTCAAGAACCGGGAGCAGTCTCGGAGCCAACTCAGCGGCAGCCGGGAAGGTGCCGCTCCTCCCCGCGCGGTCCAGGCGCTGTCTTCGAGGACAGCGGCTCTCAGGCCGGGCTCAGTAATCCCGGCGCCAACCACCAGAAGGCTCCCGGCCATTTCAGGCGCGGAAGAGAGAGAGTGGGAGCGGCATTTCGCGGGAAGCGGCCACCCGGCGTGCTCCAAGGTCCGCGCTCCCTTCCCGGGGCCCCAACACGCTCCGGCCAGGGCCCGAGGACGGGTCTGCACGGCCGGGCCCGAGGACGCTGCA